TAAATATCCAGAAGTGGAGTCACTGGGTCATACAGTAGTCCTATTGTTAATTTTTTAAGGAACCTCCACACTGTTTTCCATAGTGGTTCCACCAATTTACATGTCCATCAACAGTGCATAAGAATTCTCTTTTTTCTACATCCTTTGTCAACACTGCGCTCTTAAGACAACTCTTAACCAACTGAGCCACTTGGCCAGCCCCCCTCTCTCTTTTTTTTAATCCAAATAGTAATGTATTCAATTTTAGTAACTGAATCTTAAAAATATTTTTTTTCCCTAGGATATCAGAAGAGAGGTGATAAAATTGATAGAATTTCTTGGAAAGAAGCCATCAGAGGAGCTTGTGGACAAGATTGTACAACATACTTCATTCCAAGAGATGAAAAACAATCCATCTACCAATTACACAACACTACCAGATGAAGTCATGAACCAAAAAATATCTCCTTTCATGAGAAAAGGTGAGAGAATCATGTGATTTGTCTCTATTGCTATAGGATGTTACAAGTTGAAATAATTATAGTGAAACACCTATTGAGGCCTATTCATACCTGTGGATCCAGCTTGTTTTCAGAGTTCTTTCACATTTGAGGATTCTCTTTATTGAATTATCAGTTTTTCAGAGTCATAAAACACTAGTACTATATTAATATTACTAATAAATTGCTATTACTTGTTGATTATTTAGTATATGCAGCATATCATTAAGAATGATCAGCAGCCACTGCAGCTTCAGCTCCAGCACTAACACATCTACTAGTTATTGTTGACTAATCCTGTGTGCCTTGGTGCTGTACCATGTACATTATATAAACATATATAACTTAAAAATTCTCAGATTTTTAAATCTAATCAGAGACTCAGGGCAGACGTTCTGTTATGATCTCATTTTGAGATGAGGAAACAAGCTTAGAACAATAAGTCAGCTTTTCCTTGACCAAGTGGCCAACATTTTTCCAGACTAAATGGCAAATGATCAAATTCAGCAAATTGTAGATACATTAAATATGTATCGTTCTTTATATATCGATTGTGTCTCAATAAATCTGTAAAAAATGATTGTTTCAAAACCCTTAGTAGCAAATATGGCTTTCTTTAGCAAAAAATATCAAAATACAATAAAGTGACATTCTATTGAAAAGAGGCATGGTCTGCTGAGATATACAGTCAATTTATAAACCCAAAGGCATGTAAAATATGCAGAGTATTTATTGGGACATCTGGTCATATTGATATGTGAGAAACATTTCTGTTCTTTTTTTTTTTGAGCAGAATATATAAAAATTTTGCTTTTTGAACTACATTGTCAGTGAGAAGGCTAGGGAAATTTTTAAATAATAGAAATACCCTGCCACTGGGTGAAAACAGGAAGCCCATGAAAAGAGTTAACATGCAGATTATATTTTAGCTATTTATTTCTCAGATTATCTCAGTCTCCTTTCCCATTAGGTCCATATGTATTTTTAAAATAAAATGTTCGGCTTTGTCATGATTATAAATGGCTGCTTACTGCTATACCCTCAGACCTTACACAGGACACATATTTTCCTCTTTTGTTTTATTGGTTATTTCACTGGGAAAGTTTAGAGCTTCTTGAGCTTAGGGGGCAAGTGAACCATTGACTAATTTAAAATATGGGATGACTTCCTTCTGCTAGGGGACGGTTGGATGTGATGGAAAGCAAAAGAGAACGGCCTGCTAGGCTGTTTAAATAACCTGGCTGGGAATCACTGAGGAGCTTCGCTGTCAGTAGCAGCAGAAATGGAGAGGAAGCAATGAGTATAAAAAAAGTCAAAATATGAATAAGGAATTAGATGTAGGGGTTGATGGGACAATCTCCAAGTTTATGACTTGGATATGTTGTGTTGCCATTAATTGGGTTATGTGGGGTGGGGGTGGGGTGGGTTGGAGGGAGGTGGAAGCACAATTTGGTGAGGGAGAAAATGAATTAATTTTTGAACTAGTTGAATTGGGGATACTTGTATGGAATCCAGGTGGCACTATCATGTAGACAGTTAGATATGGAAACATCTGGATTTGAGCGTTATCAACATAAATGTGATATTTAATATCTTGGAAATGAGTAAAACAATGGGTCTCATCTTAGGAGCCCCAACATTTGAGAGGAAACTTGTGCTGTTTGTTGTTGTTAACAATCACAACAAATCCTTCTTTGCAAGTTCAAATATGTATATTATTTATGGTATATACTTTGTTCCTATAATTGAAGATTATAAGAAAATTTGATTAGGTGTTAATGAAAGTGATGTAGATTAGAAAACTTCATGATTCTGACTTGAAGACATAATATTTATGGTTTTTCTCTTTGTTACAGGAATTGCAGGAGACTGGAAGAATCACTTCACAGTAGCCCTAAATGAGAAATTTGATAGGCACTATGAGCAACAAATGAAGGGGTCTACACTGAAATTACGAACCGAGATCTAAGAAGGGTTTTCTTAAGATGTCTGAGAGGAAAGCTTTCTTCTCATCATTCCTCAACTTTTCCTACTTTAAATTAATAGAGGAGTCATGTGAAAGATTAAGGTCAGGTTCACATGATTATAGAGATCTTCATATAAAAAAGACAAGGACTTTTTTCCTGCTGTTATATTTTTATTTTCTTTCTCTTCTCCTCTTCTATTCTCCTCCTCGTTCTCCTCCTTTTCCTTGTTTTTGCAAATATTATGCAAAGATATAATCTATGCGAGTGGTATAGGAAGACACAGATAGTTTGAGTTGTCAGAGGTTCATTAAAAATAATAAAGCTCTCCAAATTATTTTTGTGTTGGGTTTTTCCCCATTATGTAATATATTTAGTATATACATGAACTTCGAAAATCGTGAGAGAAAGAACAAAAAAATAAATAAATTTGAGGTCTTTAGAATATTACATCCTTAATTTCTACGGAGAAAAGTCTCGGGATTTCTTAACACGCTGTTCAACAGTATGATTTTTCAGAATCAAAGCTAGTTTTTAAAAGGAAAACATATAGAAGTGCAATGGACTTTTGAACGTTGATTTTGTAGCCGACAACTTTACTATATTCATTTATTGTTTCTAATAGCTTTTTGGTGGAGTCTTCAGGGTTTTCTAATCATCAGAGAAATGCAAATAAAAACCACAATGAGATATCACCTCACATTAGTTAGAATGGCTATCATCAACAAGACAAATAATGTGTTGGAGAGGCTGTGGAGAAAAAGGAACCTTCATACACTATTTGTGGGAATGCAGATTGGTGCAGCCGTCATGGAAGGCAGTGTGGAGGCTCCTCAAAAAATTAAGATAGAATTACCATATGACCCAGCAATCCCTCTCCTGGGTATCTACCCAAAAAATCAGAACACATTTATCTGTAAAGATATATGTGCTCCGATGTTCAATGCAGCTTTATTTATTGCAGCCAAGACATGGAAACAACCAACGTGTCCTTCAATAGATGATTGGACAAAGAATATATGATATATACATACAATGGAATACTATTCTGCCATAAGAAAAGATGAAATAATGCCATTTGCGACAACATGGATGGATCGCGAGATTATGCTAAGCAAAATGTCAGACAGAAAAAGTAGAAACCATATGATTTCATTGATATGTGGTACATAAAACTAAAAACAAAAGAAGACAAACAAATGAAGAAACAAAAACTCAAAGACACAGACAATAGTGGTTACCAGGGGGTAAGGGGGGAGGGGGGCGGTAGATGAGGGTAAAAGGGATTATATGGTGATGGAAAGAGAACTGACTCTGGGTGAACACACAATGTGATATATAGGTGATGTATCACAGAATTATACACATGAAACCTATAACTTTACTAACAATTGTCACCCCAATAAACTTTTTTAAAAAGTACAACATAGTTATGCGTTATTAAAAATTGGAGAGTTGGTTGGGGCCAGCCGAGTGGCTCAGTTGGTTAAGAGCTCGCTCAAGAGTTTGAGCTCTGAGCAACAGCAGTACGCTGCCCAGCCCGAGCTGAGCTGCCAGGATGGCTCAGCAAAAAAAAAAAAAAAAAAAAAATTGGAAAGTTGGAAAATTCCGACTTCATTTTGGCGGGATGAGAAGCAAAACTGAATCACTGAAGGCAACAGTTGCTTTGATTTCTTTTAAAAAAAATTTTACGTTTATTTTTTTGAGCCACGGACGTCTGCTGGCCCAGCCCAGTGGGCGCTCAGCCCACAACTGTGGGAGTAGCAATCTTGAGACCATCCTGCTTCCCCGCCCATCCCTTAGAGCAGCCACGGCTCCCGGAAACAGCCTCCACACTTGTAAGGAACACAGATGCGCCAGAGGCCAGTGGAAGGAGCTCGAGTTCTCAAGGGCTGTTCCTAGGCTTGCACCGTACAGTTTGTGAGTTCTCCAATCTCTACCCTTAGTCGGCATCTGCTGCTCAGGCTGCGCTGCCACCCTGGGAGCCGTCATCCTGAGACTAGCGACCCCTCCCCCCCACTCTTCCTCCTGCGTCAGTTCTTCCGCTTTAAACCAAACGCAAGGCAGCCTCCGATCCTCGCTTCCCTCCTTTTTACTCCTTCCCACAGGGACCGCGCCAAAGAGCCAGAGTTAGGCCCTGAAGTGGCAACTGTATGGCAGGAGAGGCGGTAACGGCAGGGCACTCATACCTCCTCCTATAGGAGACACCATCTTGCGTAAAGAAATAACAACTAAACGTCGGCGCCGCGGGTTGGGCGAGGAGGCGGAGTCTAGTGACGTCACTGCCTCCCCCTACCGCCCTCTGCTAGGTTCCCCCTCTGGCTCGGCTCGTCTTAAAGGAGCCGTTGTGCTACCTCTCGTTTGGGGCCGGCGTTGAGGTGCGCTCAGCGGGGGGCTCAGATTGGGCTCGGATAAAGTTGAGGCGTGTCCAGCCCCGCGGTCCCCCCCATCAGCGATCCTCCACGCCTCTGCCCTGGGAGCCACCATTCTGCCACTTTCCCTTGCCCGGCCGTCCGCGGGCATCAATAGCGACTTTCAGTGCAAAGCAAAGGTGGCAGCTACGGCATCTGGGGAATGCCCAGGTGAAAGTGCCTCAGACCAACTTAGCCCCGC